TGAGTGACTGTGTTGTGAAATTGACACTGAAACTGGCAACAAAGCCAAATGTGTGGGTGGATTTTGTTAAAGGTGCTACATGTATCAATAGTAACATTAAGTACACAGTGTGTCAAGCTGACAGCAGTTGTTCGGCTCATACTGTATTTCCCATAGAGCCTGCTGGTAATTTACAAGTAAAAAGGTTATTTCTTAGTAAAAAATAAATCTAAAACTAGCAGCAGCTTCCAGTATTCATCAATCTTTTTGCTTTGGAAAAGTATGCACCAACTTCCTGTTTTTATTCTGTAAAACAGTCCAGATTTTTGTTACTTCTAATTACGTACTTGTAGCACCTTATTCTAAAAATGTATGTAGAAATGTGTACAAAACAAAACAAAAAAAAGCTAAATCCAGGAGCAAGTGGAGCTCCAGCAGCATGGTTTTGTGGGTTTGAACGTGACACTTTGTTCTGGAGTGTTCTCTGACTTATCCCTGAGGTTTGTCCACCTTTTAACAGGCTGAGAGCTTTCTGCCTGATGTTAATACAGTTTAATTAAAAAGAAAAAGAGCAAAGCTTTAGCATTAAAGATGAAAGAAAGAAGCATGACTTGACACATCAAAGGTGGATGATCTCTCTGAACTGCCGACGCAGAGTCAATCACTAATAGTGTTGTTGTTGTCCAGGGGGGAGTGGACGGAGGCTACACCAAGGAGAAGATCCGCATCGTGGAGGGCGTGTGCCTCCTGTCCAATGATGAGCTTTACTGGGACGACCTGAAACAGATCAAGCCGTCCCGAGGCGGGCTGCACACCTGCATGCGCACAGACACCGTGTCCCTGCAGGCCAGCAGCGCTTCGCTAGACGACGGCGAGACGGAGCAGCTCCTCCAGGAGGAGGCGTCTGAATGCTCGTCCATAACCACCCTGACCCCTTCTGCCATCACCCCGCAGCGTCACGCCCAGCACAGCCTGCCCGACACCGGCTGGGTCTCCGTACGCAAGCCCTCCACCGAGAGCGAAGTGTGAAGGAGGCCCCCCGCCCTCTGTGCTTTATCTTGACCATCATTACCTAATATACACATGCAGTCACCTGTATTTAGAGCTGGTACAAACACACAAAGATGAATAGGTACAGAACACAGTAACAGCTGCATATGTAAACTAATGGTACATATCAACCTGGTTAGACACAACTAAGCTACAAAACACACATGTCCTGTCTTTAAAATTGGGGCTCCGTCCTACTTGTCCACACGTGCAGTGCAGTATCCTCAGTGCTGCTGCCTCGAGGCAAAAATGGAGCGTGCTGGAATAAGAAAAACAAAGGACTCTGGAGAGGAAGTGAACAGAGAGACACAAGCGTTAACGTGGAACCTTTTTTTTCTTTTTTCTTTTAAGGATACAGACTCTCAGTGCGACGCTTCTCTGTATACCACTTCACCTTTCTTTTTCTTTGTTTTTCATCCTGGACGGAGCTAAAGCAACATACCCCCCGGACGACGTAACCACAGAGTTCCCTCTAATGCCACTCATGTCTTTATGAACTATATTTATGAACATGTTTGTGGGTTTTTTTTGTTTGTTTTTTTTAATTTGTAGAGTGGGTTTGCTGACTTTCAGAGAATGATGAGTGCGCTAAGCTAGAAGTTTTATTTTTGTGCAGCAGCACCTGTTTTTTTTCTTTTTTAATTAATTTTATTTTTCAAGAGTTGTATTTATGACAGTGCCAAAGGGTGGGGCTTCAGAGTCTCCATGCTTCTTTTTCCATTTCACACTTCAAACAGAGATTTATTCTCATTCTGGGATGTTTGTTTCCTCTGACTTGCCCCTCCTCAACCCCACCGGTGTGGGAGACCTCAGTGTTGGCATCTGCTTCTTTACAGCCTCCAAGGGATTAAACTAGAAATGACTGTAGCAGGTTCTCTCAGTTGGCTGCAGGAGGCCCTCCATTTTCTGTTTAAAGTTATACTTCAGTTATCGCTGATCCTCGGGCAGAGCGGAAGTCACCTCGATGAAGTAACAGCCTAAGTGCCAAATGTTGAATTCTTTTTCCCACTTCAGCTGTATATTTATTTCTCCTCAGATGCACATGGCATTTTCTCACTTATATACTCCACAGATAAAGCTGGTGAGCGATGCAGATACTTGTAAGGTTGTATGAATCCAGGTATTAAACGTATGTCTGTTTTTTTCTGTCCAAAAACACCGGGGGTTTCTCTGAAACCACTTTATTTCGTCGGTCTTTCCAAAAGAAAAGAATTTACTTTCTAAGTAGGTGATTAGTTTTTTTGTGTTTTTATTTTTGTTTTTTTCCCCCATTGCTGATGTGCTTGCGAAACACATTTTTGTAACCAGTGTGTGTAATATCCACTCACCTTCTCCACTAATATGAGATTCATTCTTACTCTGCTTGATAACTGATAGCAAGTAACAATAACAGAAATATTAGATGAACAAGTCATGAGTAACAAACGTTTTAGATTTTTAGATCACCACAAATAACAGTGTGAAGCAAGTCTTGCCTCTCAGCAGCCATCTTTGAACATTTATTTTGAAGACTCTATGTAAATGTATCTGGAAAAACCCTCGTCCTTAACTTCTATGTTCATATGGCCATAAAAAGCCATGTGAACAGATTTTTGATGAAGATCTGACTGGAAAAACGTTAGTTAACTTTGTTCTGTTATCTGCTTCTGACTGCTGACACGATCAGCGTGTCTGCTGCTGTTGCTGCTCGTTCAGATTATGAATACAGCAAAATAAAAGATTTTTAACAAGGTATCTTACCCACACCTTATACGCCTGTGGGGGCGTGCACCTTTACCATGTTCATGGGTCAGTGCTTACGAGATGATTGGCTAAGTCTGGCTCTTTGGGGGCAGACGCAGCACTGCTGCCATCTTTAGCATTTCAAAATTAGCCCATAGATTTGTGGCCAGTGTTATATAACGTTTCTAGTTTGAATTAAGTTTTCTTACTTCCTCAAAGTTCCACTTTTCACTTTCTATTAGCAACCAAGCTTCAGAGGCAAAGATATATTTTTTAAAAAAATTAAAAAATCTTGGCACATACAACCAGAAGTATCTGCTCGGCCAGAAACACTTGGAAGTAAATGAGAAAATTTGTGCTTTTGGTCGTTTGAGTTTAACTCCATCATATCGGACTCTGTGAGGTGCGCTCACAGTGTCTGCCACAGCACAGTGCAACAAAAGGGGTAACTTTGTGCACGCTGTGTGTTGAAAAATTTATCAGACAGCTTACTGAGAAGTGAATTTAATGGCTATCTCACATTGCTTTATTTTTAGCGCCCCATTCTGCCTGTCGATTGTGGCGCAAATGAAAATACTATATTGCTATATGGACAAATATATCTTTGACACATTATAGAATCGTGTATTTTGAAGTATCTGCTACAAGCTCAGCAACATGCTGATCTGCTGCTAGACGAAGCACTGAGGCCAATGAGAGAGGGGCTTGGCAGCTACATGACTACAGTCTCTGATGGTTGGTCGAAGGCAGGCCTACAGAGCATCATAGCGACCCAGGATCCAGTAATCCACACTCACAGTCCCTCCAACTCTGCTGCAGGAATGCTAAAACTGTACAGATTTTATCACGCGGATGTAAGCAAACATTTTTGTTGATACTGGGCTGAGTTGTATAGTCTTTTGTACAAAGGGATTTCATGACCGTTTTTAGACTTGTATTAATTTTACTCACTGGAAAAGAACAATGTTTTTGGTTTTTTTTGGTTTTTGTTTTGTTTTTGCTGGATTATTTTAACCACTGTGTTCCCAAGCCTTGTAAATGATAGGGAAGATGCCAGTTATTTAATAGTGCTCTTTTATCTTATGAAATACTGGTCACGTATAGCTGTTGTAAAGTTAACAAAAAGAGATATTTATGATTTTCGTTTTCGTTGTCACTTGATGTGTAAATATGAAAAGACTGTATATGTATGGCAGTACTAACAAGCTGTGTTGTGTGATATAGTGAATTATCCCTTTGCTATCTTTTAATATAAAATTGCATTTGCATTTCAATGAAACCTTCGTCTCACTCGTCTGTGCGCTCGTTGCTTTTAGACAAACGTGTTTCCTCGTCTGACATGTAGCAATGAAAGGGGATGCTAAAATCTTCAGGTGCTAATTCAGATATTGTTGTTACAATAGGAGGGGAGATTTAATCATGTGGTTTGGGGGGATCTTGTCAAAACAGATTTGTGAGGAGAAGTTGGGTCAGAATTTGATCTGCCATGAGTCTGATTGGCAGCAGCTTCACATTTCAGTATGACAATGATTCCAAACACACTGCCAATGCAGTAAAAGCATAATTGATAATACATACAGTGGACTGGTAAATAGTGTTTTTTCTAATCTAATTGAGCACAAATGCTTTCAAAGCATGCAGGATCATGTTGACAGAGAGTGGAACAAGGTACAGCCAACGTATAACGAAAAGGTTTTAAAGTCCTTCAAGAAGCCAGGCGATCCTGGAAATGAGAAGTAAGCTTGCCTAAGAGTTCAGGCTGTGATGAAGCAAAGGTGGACATACTGGCTTTCAAACTGGTTAGAATTGTTTCACCTCTGGTTTCCCTATGGAAACCCTATGTTCAAACCCAGGACTTTCTCACGGTGAGGCAACAGTTCTAACAGTTATTTATATAATTCATTGGGCATTTTTGTAACAAAATATAAATAAATAGCAGTCATCTTATACAACACCATCATCCCTTCAAGCCTATAATTTTATCAGGAATCAGTATGGTGGATAGATCTTCACCCATTCTTGAGCTTTCATTACATTAGTATTCAGTATAAAAGATGCAGGATGTATAAATGTTACAAATTACAACCAATGTGCAGTATCACTGAGGATCAATGGCGTTTTTGCACTTGTTTTGCAGAGGAGCATGCAGCAAACTCATATGTGTAACCATTCAGTAAACATTTATGTAGAAGACACACGCACAAAACTTTAGCGCCATTTAGTGCTCAGGTTTTTCTTGCGCTGTTGTTTATCGACGTTGTCTGGGCTTCTTCTTCTTTTTAGTTTAATAGCGGTTGGTAAACCAGCTTAGTGGTGCATTACCGCCACCTGCTGCACTGGAGTGTGGCTCCTCCAATAAATGCCCACACCTTTTCCGGCTTTTAGGCCAATCAGCGACGCGCCCTGCGTGAACACGGGGTTTGAAATATGCAGAGACTCGGCTAAGCTAGACGAGAAAGAGAGTTCATCTTATTTTGTAAGTTTTATTCGGGTGTTTTTGTGACATTTTTTGTAGTTTGATGGGAGGCACAGTGATAAATTACTTTTTTTTTATTTGAAATGTTTTACTTGTGACAGTCACTTAGGTTTTAACCGAATGCTAGACGCTAACGTTGCTAAACAGCTAGTGGTAAAGCTAACTCTGCTTAAAAGAATTAGATTTATTTAACCTAACGTTAACCAGCGTTACTGTTTGTAACATAATCCACCACCCGGGCTTGAATCCAAGTTAACTTGCATTTTGAACCTTTTCCATTCTCTATCATCTAAATGATTGACCTTTTTCGTGCCTGCTAAACTCAAGGTTCTGCACTACTTCCTGTCACACACACAAGACCCATGTCAGCGGCTATGGCGAATGATACCGCGTGGATGACGACGTGGAATATGGACACAAATCCCAGTAAGATGACTGTGCCGATTATCTAGTGGTTGGGTTGCTGGGTCCCCAGTTCGATTGTGTGCTGCACAAAACAAACACTGCATGTTAAAGTGGAAGCGGTGCTGGGTGTGGGAGTGATGAGTTGCACTAATCAGCTGGGGTGTCGAGTTGACTGCTTCAGTCTGATCCAACCTGAGGACACGCAATGTGCACAGGGGCCATCTGACCCAACCCTGCTCCTCTATACACATGTGTTGTATGCTTCTTTCAAGTTAAAACGCACACACACATAAAAACAACTGGCCACATAGCAAAAAGCTTACAGCTCTCTGCAGGTTGTCCCAGGCATCCTGGAGCACTTATTGCCATTGTGTGAATTCTGTCTCTTCATGTAATGACTCATTTTGAGGTCAGACCCCAGTCCTGCTTTAATAATTCCACATTTGACTGCCTGTGTTTATTTTCCCATGTGCTGGATAATGAAATCTATGGGTTTTGTATGGAGCCACAGTCATGCAGCATTTGGCATGCACTGTAAACCCTGACAGAAGACTGTAGGGCTAGGTGATGAGAATTCATGCAGTACTACATTAAATATACTCTTTAATTTACAAATGTCATTGTTTATTAGCAGGTGTGATCACCCTAGAAAGCATTATGTAAACTTGATATCTATTTTACATAATGCTGATGATGCCATACTCTAAAGAAAGTCACATTTTCAGAACAAAATCATGGTTTAATAAAGTCCGTATTAATGTCACCTGTCATATTAACTCAATTTTTTTTTTTTTTTTAACTTTTTTTTGGACAAGGCAACAGATGCTGTGGTCTAGATGTCATGGAAGGTCCTCTTCCCCCTCTCCAAGGCAGAACTTCGAGCTCCATGACCTGATGACACGAGCTCCTTCATTCTTTAAGGTCTGTGTCTGAATGTCATCTGTTTGCTGAGCTATTGGAATGATTTTCTCTTGTTTCCAAAGGGCATGCTGTCATTTTAGTCAACTGCGCAGTTTCTTTAAATCAGTCATGTTTTATGAGAAACATGGCATCTGGTATAACATTTTAAAAAAGTATTAGCCCTGTACTCTGGTTTGTCATAGATTATGTTTACCTGTTTGTTTTGGCTTTATTTGCTTTTACAAATTTTTTTCATCATACGTGTCCTGTGGTCAGCTGAGCTTTTTTTAGTGATGCCAGTTAATACAGCTGTTCATCATGAGATGAACCAGGTAAACTCACTTTTTATTTTTTCTCACGTGGGGTTGTGACAGTGATGAGTTGCACTATTAGTCAGGCTGGTGATTGCAGTGGCACAGCCAGCCTGTCCTGACAAGCTGTGGTGACACCTCAAGGTGCACAGGGGCCATCTGAGTCATTTCCCCACCTGACAGGAAAAAAAATAGTGGCTGGCTCCTTAAGGTATTTTCTCACTTGATTTTTTTCAACTGCAGTTCTTTTTCTCCTTTTTTGTTTTGTTTGTTTGTTTCCTTATTTTCCCAGTCTTAAAATTGGACAGCTTATGCTTACATGGGATGACCCAAATATATCCTGCCAGCAAAAGTAGGTGGAGGAAGAAGGACCCCAAAACTGGTGAGCACAAACGGCATAAATCATACATCTTTTATAGATGTGAAATTTACAGTGGATTATCATATTTTAAAAACGTGCATGTGTTGTTATTTAACAAATGTAATCAAAAAGACAAATGGTGATTCAGTCTTGCTGCAATAAAAGTGTGTACAGTTGTGGTCACACATTTACAGAATGGGGTTGCTTTTGGCCATTTTTCAGAGAATATGAGCACCGTCACCCCTTTAAGTTTCTCTTCATATGAGCACCTATCGGAAGAAAGCTGTCCTGATTCCTGCCATAATGTCATCATGTGTTGTGTTATATGTAGTGCCGACGTAGGACAGTTTTCCAATCTCATTGTACTATTGTACTATGTTTGACTGTGCAATGACAATAAAGCGTTATCTTATCATTGGTTCTACTATTAAAGTTTTCTGTCCTTTCTCCTTTCCTCGTCTCTGCAGGCAGCTTAATATCAGAACACTGTCAGCCCTACAGCAGCAGACACTGCAGTCACTGGTACAGCTCTTTGTGGACCTTCACTAGTTGTGCACATCACCAGTCACTGAGCTGCTGCAGAATGACCTACATTGACCCGATGTTACCCAATGCTGGAAAACAATTTCCAGTAGTGAATTCTCAAAGGATCCAAACCTCTTCCTTCTTATTTGATGATTGAAACATCAGCTTGCAGCCTCGTGCACAGGTGAAATATCATTATTATTATTATTATTATTATTATTATTATCATCATTTTTTTTAAATGTATCTCATGACTGATGAACAGGAAAACTTAAGTAGTTCTCTACTTGTTGTCTTGCTATTGTCTCATCTGTTAGGCTTTGCCAATACGTTGCTCTACAGAGGCCAGTTTTTACTTACTAAAGTGTTTTCCTTTCTGTTAGCGAGGAATCGGACAAGATTTTGCATCAGAAGAAATATCCAAAGTGGTGGGGAGCATCATGACCAGCCTTGGAAGATCTGTGTTATTGGCTTAAATTGAACATTTTCCTTCACTCTTACCACAGCAACAACCATCCAGGCAAATACTGTAATAAAATGGCACAAACTTGTATCATATTTCTCGTAGTTCTGATTTTGGGGTCATAACATCCAGCTCTCAAATAGCTGAATTAAAGCAGCAGAGGGTTCATTAATCACTTTTGCTGAAAGTGTTTTGCAGAAGTGACAGCAACTGGACTCCTAAGAACGATTACAGTTTCAGTGAATGCCTTGCATCATCAGAGGCTTCAGCTCATTTTAAATATCTGCTTGTTCTATTGTTTTGTCATCGAGCAGGGTTAGAAGCTTGTTTGCCTGGCACTATGATGTGTATGTATTATTGTAGGGTCTACCTTACAATATAAAGTGGCTTGAGGTGACTGTTGTGATTTGGTGCCAGATAAATAACTTTGAATTGAATTAATCTGTATTCAGATATTTATGTACCCAGAAAACGGAGAAAGTAACTGTATAGTTGTAACATTGAAGATTCTCTGCAACATCTGTGCAGGAAGCAAACTTGAGATGGTTGGTGTTAAACTTAGCAATATCCTGCTGTTCACCCGGTTAGCTGTAACTATACTGATAATGAAATCACTGGTGTATTTTTACACCTTTAGATACTGATTTACACAGGCTCTGCAGGTTTGGTGTATCTGTAGAGTATCAGTGGTTTACACATGGATTTCTTTTGAATAAACCATAATTGCTAACAGACATATGTAATGTAGGTATTTGGCACCAGTACAGATCATCTTACTGTGATATCAGCCAGATATGAATAGATTATAGAGAACTGGCTTCTTTATTTACACGGAATTGAAAGGGGGAGGAGTAAAGATGGGACCACATTCAGGTTGGCTCAATCTTCACTTTAAGAAAAAGGGGGGGAAAAATGAATATAAATATATAAAAAAAGATGTGCTCCTGCTATTAAATTACAAATGTGTACATCCTCTCAGTATCACATTCCTATCTGTTGTTTTTGTTTGGTTTTCAGTCAATACAGAAATATGAAATGACAACATGACCTAAATAAACTAAATTCAGACATGTGACAAGTTGCTGTTCTCCATGGTTTCCCATCTCTGCTGTATAGTAGAATTTTAACCACCAGGTGGCAGTTGAATATCAGTGATCACCTCCAGTCTGTTGCCTATAATGAGGTAACACATTTTACTGGACTAATTAGTGCCTCAAAACTGCACACACTGATAACTCCTGCAGCATCGTTTTTCATCCGTATCCTGTGGTGCACACGCCATGTAGGATTCTGTGGAAATGAACTTCACAATCGCTCTCGCACAAACGTGTTTTAACATTGTTTTAATGTAAATGTGTAAGACTGCCATTACCTCAACTGTATTGCTACACTTTAAACACTTCTAGCTTTTAAAGTAAAAAGTTTAACAATTTAAAGTGCAAAACAGATGAATTCAAATGTTTTGGGGGATGCATATGTAATCAAATATATTTTGAACATACTGACCTGGTATTTGCTCAGTTTGAACACGAATGATTTTAAGTGTTTGGATGTTGCACTACATGTCATCCATTCATTTAAAAATAAATAAATAAATAAATATTGTAACTTTGAAGCTATTGAAATGATTGGCTCAACCTTCCACTATGCTACAGTCACATTAAGAAAAACAGTGGTCAGGATTACTGAAAAAGAAAATGTATCAATTTGTGATTGAATGGGTTCAAACTGGCAGTTACATGGAATTTAATAAATCTCTTGCTGTCTGCATACACAGAATTTCACATCGGCTACTTACAAATTCCCACCACTCAAATTCCTCTTTGTGACATGGTTGCTGAAGGGCAGTGATTTAGCTGCAATATTACACAGGTACTCTGCAACTTGTTTTCAGAATACAACCAGCTGGCATCCTCTATTCTATTCTACTCCTCTATTGCAAAGAGATTGCAGATTGATTGATTGCAAAATCTGTATCCATAAATTAGATGGCAATTATTTGTAAACCTTCACCAATCGGAGAGCGACAGAGTCAGCCCAAGTCAGGCTGTGATTGTTTGGAAGCAGATTGCCTCCGACACGGTGATCTGTGTAATTGTCATGTATTTAAATGTGCAAGCATGGAATTCCTTGTAACTGGTCACTAATTCCAATCATTGGAATCTCCTTGCAGCCACCTCCTTCCTAGTTGCAAGGAAGTTGTCTTATATTTGCTGTAGTGTGACTGAGCCATTAGTTATGATGCCTTGAGGCCCAGGCTGCTGAGAGATCTCCTTTGATGTACTGAGCTCTTCTCCTTCACACCTGTCTTTTTCATTCCTGCTCACTCTTCATCCCTCTCTTCTTCCTCATCTACTAAGTGGATGTGGTAAATGGCTGCTATCCCTGACCCTGGCTCTGCAAGAAGTTTCTTCCTGTTAAAGCGACCATTTTTCTCCCCACTTTCACCTCATATAGGCTCATTGAATGGCTTGGGTCTGTAGAGTACAATATATAAAGTACCTTTAGATGACTATTCAGGGGAATCAGCAGTACATAAACTGAATAAGATTAAACTGGATTTTTATCATTTTAAGCAAATCAGACTAATGGGTCAGTTTATAACCCTTCTATGCCACCCACTGAGAAATCTCAAAGGACAGATATTTAGGTTGCTTTAGCCTGACAGTTGCTTTGCAAACAACGTCCACCCCAGCACCTTTCCATGCTATGCATGACTTAATTGATATCATGAATGTTGTCATTGCCAAGGTCTGTTTTGTATGAGGTACGGAATTTTTACTACTCTCACTGCCAGTGAGTTTCTGTGCATGAACAGGGAGCTCTCAGAACAGAGCTGGCAAATATAAACCACTGCAGCTGAGGAACAGACAATCTGTGTTCTTACTGACAGATTTATTGTTGAGATTCACATTGCCTGTTTCACTGCATATGTATATTTAAAATCAAAAAAAGAATCAGTGCTTTCACACATTCCCACGGGGGTTTAAAATATAATTTTTTCCTCCTGCTATCTTGCATCACCTTTCCCTGTGACTCAGAGCGGTGATTGACAGCAGCGAGGGGAGCGATCATAGATGGCTGAATGACTAGTCTGTGGTACCAGAGGCAGGGCTTGTTTTGCTTTTAACTGTACCCACAGGGGAGTTGAGGAACATCCAGCTTCTCACAGATGTTTCCAGAGTTTTGGTTAGAGGGAGAAGTCCAAGACTTCAGAGGGAGAGGGGTACAACTCTTAAGAGATAAACAGGTTTGTGTAGCCTGAGGAGGCCATCCTGTGAGTGCGGAGGTCCGGAGGGAACTAACTCTGTCACAGTCCTCAGAGGACATTTTTACAGGATGCTCTGTAGATGTGAGATAAAAGGAAGGGATTATATTGTAAGTTTAAAATCATTTTTTGCTAATGATGCCATAATCTTTTGTTCAGGCACTGATAATCTCAGATCCCAGGCTTCAGTGTGCACATAAATATGTACACATTGTTGTCACATGCTACACCAACACATGTTTATTAGTAGGAGGTAGTTTTTCCTTCCCCCTCAGTGAGTCACGGTGCACTCATACTCCTTGATAATGAAAAGCCAATTAACATTTCTTGTCTGAAGTGGTTGAATGCACGAAAATGTTTGTTTAGTGCCTTAAAAGATCGTACCAATGCAGGAAGAACATTTTGTGTAATGGCTGCATTGCAGATTTTCTCATTTTTCTCATTTAAGCATTTTTGGCTCATGTAGACAGCACCATAGCAACTGCAGGTTGTTAACTGCCAGCCAAAAGAGACGTTTAACCCCAATGCTAACATGCTAACTGAAAAATCTTGCTTTATGAGACAGAGCTCAGGTTTTGATGTCTGAACAGGAACTATGTACAACAGGCAAACATTTACCTGAATCACAGGAGAAACTACAATAAAGCTAGCATATTCACAATTTTTCACACTGCAGTCAAAAACAAAAGAAAAACTGCCACATCATCGTGGGCGTGATTTAAAATGCTCATATTGAAATGTTTCCCTGAAAAAGCCCACCACATGCCAAGAGTTCGTTGAAGTGTACGGCACAAAAGGCAGACTGAAGAAGACAAAAAACAAGCTGCTGTTACTGCAAAGCTCAACGAAATCTGAAGCTTTCTGATTTAATTAAGTTCATTTGTAGCGTTCCTCAACCGCAGACACTCAAACTGAATGTTGATATTTTTGTACATATACTTAATAGCATAATTATAAGAACACATATTTGTCTGTTAAATTTAAGGGTAAAGCTTTTCACAGTGATTTCAATCAGGGTCACCACAGTGGGTAGCTTTGCATATTCAGTTTGGCAGATTTTTATCCTCACATGCCGTTATGATGGGATTTGTGTCTGCATCTTTGGGAACTACACTATAGAGCCACCTGCAAATATTACTTGATTTGAATTTGAATAATTCTGGTAACATTCAAATAAAAAAAATAATCCAGTGGTTTAAGGATAAATTACTATTGTGAAATAAAAGAAGTCAGTGTGCATCTTATTGCAGTTCTTCATCTAATGCTAACCTCAAATTTACCAATGTCCTCTCCATGAAGAAGAAATTAAACAATGTATTTGTTCTTGTCTCATTTTAACTGAGTGTGTGCATCTTCATTTTCAGTAATGCTACCTTCTCTCCACTGTTTCACCTTGAGTATCAATTATAAAGAGGACCTTAAAGAACACCTCCAAAATGATGCCAGCAGCTTGCAACAGGAGCAACAGTTTCAATATGTGAAACTAAGCCAAAGCATGAAGCCAAGACAAAGCTGCAGTGGCTTCAGGATAAGTCTGACTGTGTCTTTGAGTGGGACCCATGTAACCTCTGGGGAGAGACCTGAATATGTCAGATCAGAGATGCCACCCCTCTAATCTGACAACTCTCAGCAGAACCTTACCTGAAGAATGAGGTTGCCAGGTTTGTTTAGAAGTCACTGCAATGATTGCCAAAAACAAAAACACTTCTACACAGTCTCACATTAATGGTCTGATGTAGTAAATCACATATCAGTGGGGGGGGTTTTCTATATATGGGTCATAAAAAATGGTGGATGCTCATATTAAGCATGGCTAAGGTTTCAAATGTATGGGCAAGTACAACTGTGCCTGATATGTTTACCCGAGGCACAGCTTTGGCTATGAGCACAGAAGCCCCACCCACCTGCTGTTCTTCCGTTTGTGAGGAGAAGCCAATCAAAGGAAAGTTGGCTGATAGAGAGGGGGAAGGGAGATAAAACAGCTTATTAGGATAAATTTCCACTGACATCAGAAAAGAGCAGCTAATAAGAACATCAAATATCTGTTATTTAA